GACAAAAAAAAAAAAAAAAAAAAAAAAATACAATGCTTGCCTATTTAGCTATTTCTCTCCCCCAGTAGCCCTAATAACCCCAAAGTATTGAATCTTTAAGGTGCAAAAGGAAAATTAAAACTAATTTTTTGCATTTTTATTTGAAACAAAATATTTCAACAGTGATCCACATCATCTCTTACAGAGCTCAATTATACCAGTATTGGACAAACCAGATAGTCCTCTGTTAGGATATATATAAAAACTGCAGGAAGTTACAGAGCAAATAAAAAGACTCAGTGATTTTTAAGAGTGATAGCAATCTGAGAACTCAGGGTAAACAGTTTCTAGTTAAAAGACACTCTAATTCACATTTTCATTAAGATTTGCAAACACATTGCATTGAACAATATCATGAGGATACTGCCTAAACTAATATCATGAGGATAATAATATGGCTAAACATTTCTTTTATGCCCTATTTTAAGTGATTCTTGAATTACATATTAGATTCTCATATGAAATGCCTTGTTTCTGTATACTGTACTTGTGTTGCTTCATTGATCTCTATCCCCATATTGAGGCTAAGCCATACCCTTTATTTTATTTTCTGCTATTTTACAGTACATAATGTTATCTGGGAAGACAAGTTTTCTCCTCAATAAAAAAATTTTTTAAAGTCTTACTTTATTACAACATATTTATAAACTTTGGGATTAGCCTGTCAAATTCTGTATTTAAAATCTCATTGGAATTTTTAACTGGGAATACATTAAGTTTACAAATTATACTAAATTTAAAAATACAAATGTTTGAGAGAATGGCCATTTCTGCAATTTTGAATCTTCCCATAAAATTCACATTTCTCCATTTATATAGGTCTTTCATATCCTTTAATAAAATGCCAGAGATTTCTTTGTATATCTATTGATGCTATTTTCAATGTATGTTTCCCATTATCTTCTGTAATATAGGAACCCTACTGAATTGTATATTTTTTTGTTGCAGCCACCTTACTGAAGTCATTATTTCTAATAGTTTTTAAATAATTTTCACAGGTTTTGTAGGTATTTGCCATTTGCAGTGGATAATTTTATTTAGAACTTTTTCCTTTTGGAATTATTTAGTCAAACTAAGTAAGAATCAACTATTTCTTGAAGGTTGAATAGAACTAACAAGTAAATTTGGTGCTTTGGGGAAGACATTTGTTCAACTGTCTTTTAAATTTTTTCTAGGATAATTGATCAATTCATATTTTTTAAACTTCTCTCTGCACACAAAAATTCACTTTCTTTTGTATTTTCCTAGAAAACTACCATTTCTTACAAATTTCAAGTATGCTGATACAAAATCTAAAACAATTTTTTGTTCCTATAGGTATATTCCCTTTTAATTTTTGATATTGTTTTCTCCATTTTTTTCATTTTTAGTCTCATCAGTGGTTTGCCTTCTTTGATCTTTCCCAAAAATGAAAAAAAAAAAAAAAAATCATGGTTAATTTATTCAGGCTACTGATTTTGAAGGTTTTTAGTTCTATTTAATTAATTTCTTACTTCATCCTTATTAGTTCTTTCTTCTACTTTATTTTATTATCCATATCTCATTATATATTGTTATATCATCATAAATTGGTTTTGACTTTTTCTTTAAAACAAGTGTTATTTTTCATTATAATGTTATAAATACATTTTTAAATAATTTTATATTTTTTCAGTGGTTTGGCCCTAAATATTAACTTTCAGTTGTACTGAATGTGGTCAGGGAATGCAGACTCTATAGCTATAATTTTGTAAATTTATTAAGATTAATGTTGCTACCTTCTGCAGGACTGATTTTTGCAATTATCCTTGGATTTTAAAAATGATGCTTATTTTCTTGCTATTCAGTATAAAAGTGTTCTTGTAGTGTTATTTAAATCATTTTAATTATCAATCCTATATGTTTCCATGATTCATTAATTTCTTGAAGAAATAAATAAAACCTTATACAGTCAGAATTTTTCCCTTTTATAACACACCTTAATACCTGGGTAGGATATACTTGATCTTACAGTTGTCTTCAGAATTTCACCTGCATTCCATATGTACATAGGTGTGTGTATATGCAATGTTAAGTAAGGTTTAAATGCAAAGCAAATTTTGAAAAATATTTGAGCAACAGTTTATTTTCTAGCTACTTTGTAAGTACATAAAGCCACATGGTTGACAACACTGGTTTTAGTAGATCTTTGATATCAAAGACATTTAGACATATAAGTCTTCATTAATTTCTGTATTATCTTCACAAAAAATCCTTTCAATTCTCTATTTTTCTGTTAAAACAGCAATAAATACATTAATATAAAACTGTTAGAAAAATAGCAAGGTATGTCTAAAATATTATAATTTAGATAAGGTTTAGAAATCATTAAATTACACAAATTTTCTTTATGAAATATATTATTAAAAATCCTCCATTATTTTCACATCACATTTTTAATTAAAATGGCCACTCCAAAAATTGTTATTACTATCCTCTTATTCAAAAGAATTAACTTATAGGATAGCTTGAAAATAAAATACCTTCAGATTATATTTATGAGCTTTATCCAAAATAGTCGGTACCAAGTCATCACTAGGTTCTCCATTCTCATCATTTGAATCAGGTGGGTACCAAGATAGGGCTAGTACACCTAATAGAGAAGACCAAAAAGAAAAGAAAATAATAAAGACAGGAACATGAATGACTACAGGTATTCTAAAAAGGGCAGAATGAGTACCAAATGGTTAAGCATAAAAACTAAAACAAATTCACAAAAGGCTGTTTTGTTACTTTCCTTCAGACTATATATGGTTATTTATGAACTCTCTGGCAGGTATCAACATCCTTTTTTTTTAAATTAACAGATTTTACTTTTTAGAGTAAAGTTTAGCTTTACAGAAAAATGGCACAGAAAGTACAGAGTGCTTATATATTCCTACCTCCTCCTCCTCCTCCCCACAAAGTTTCCCCTATTATTAACATCTTGCATTAGTATAATACATTTGTTACAATTGATGAACCAATATTGATAGATTATTATTCAAGTCCATCGTTTACATTAGGGTTCTCCCTCTCTGTTGCACAGTTTCATGGGTTTTGACAAATGCAGAATGTCACATGTCCACCATTACAATATAAGAGAGATTACTTTTACTGCTCTATAAACCCCCTGTGCACCATCTATTCATCCCTCCTCCCTTTCCCTCTCTCCTCTGGTAATAACTGACCTTTTTACTATGTCTATAATTTTGCCTTTTCCAGAATGTCATATAACTGGAATCATAAAGTATGTAGATTTTTTCTGACTGGCTTCATTCACTTAGCAATTGGTATTTTAGGTTTTTCATATCTTTTTATGGCATGATAGATAATTTATTTTTATTGCTGCATAATATCCCATTGTATGGACATTTATCCATTTCCCTATTGAAGGACATCTTGGGTTGCTTCCAATTTTTGGCAATTATGAATAAATCTACAAACATTCATGTGTTTGTTTTTGTGTGGATCAGTATCTTTTAACAGAAGATTTAAATGAAATAAAATAATTATATTTCCCATCTGTAGTACCTATTTACTTTTGGACTGATAAATTACAAAATAAGTGCTAGAAATATAAGTCTGCACAGGAATCACTAAACTGAGAGATATCATTTAAGATCAACTAATTCAAAGCATCATTACACATATAAAGAAAAGGGAAACAATTAGAAAGATGGCAATAATTTCTAAATCAATCAACAGACTCTTTAAGCAGGGAGAGAAATAACAATGCTACCAAAAGAGAAGCATGTGGAATTTGGGAAAAAAGGATTTAGAAACTGCCAGATAACTAAATCTTACAACTTAAATTTTGTGGTAGCCACCCTATATACAGAGAAGTCCCAGCAAGAGGAATAAAACAGGACTTTCATTAATACTAACAGGAAAAAAAAAAAGATGTCCATGTCCCATATTCATTCTGAAAATAAGAACAGAAACAACAACATGAGAGACAGAAAAAGGGAATCTATAATATATAAGGCTTCAGGGAAGCTCTGGCCAGCCAAGAAGGGAGTTATAATCTAGAGAAGAATGCTGGTAAAAAGGTGTCTGGAGACAACTGATCAGACAATCAAGCTGCCTACTACCCTGGCTTATAAGAATACCACCAAGGAAAAGAAGAGTGTCAATAAAACTTTCCTCAATATGGGACCTATGAAAAAATTTATTTTATAAAAAAATTAATGGAAAAAGAACATGAGAAAAAATAATAAAAGAAAACACAACAGAAAGATTATGCCTTGAAGCATGTGAAAATTATGAGCAAAGCATTCTTCCATAAAATTAAAAACAAAACAAGATTCCTGTTTCCAATAACAGTGGTCCACTTTCTAATAACAGCTGGTCCAAATAGTAAACCAACACTACTCATAAAAGAAATCAAAATTATTAAGTAAAACATGGGGAACAAAAAATTTCTTAAAGCCAAAGAGCTAAAGAGAGTAAGGAATTACCTGGCCAAACTGAAGGGAAAATGTGAAGCCAGAGAGATAAGTGAGCAAGGAAGTCAATTTGCCCAAAGCATAATTGACAGGAGTACACCAGCTCTCAAAACCAGTGCATTATATCCCAGGTTTACAATGCTTGTGCAGTCCTCTAGAAACTGAAGGGAAAATGTGAAGCCAGAGAGATAAGTGAGCAAGGAAGTCAATTTGCCCAAAGTATAATTGACAGGAGTACACCAGCTCTCAAAACCAGTGCATTATATCCCAGGTTTACAATGCTTGTGCAGTCCTCTATCTTTATACTTAATTTAAGGTAAACCAGGACTGGTATTCTCAACAGTCACCAGGCAGAAGCAAAAGCAAATCCTCTCTGGAGGAAGGCATCTTCTTTCTGGGCCTCAAATTACTTGCAAAAAGTATTTTTTTAAAAGAACAATGAATAGTATAGAATCAAAGACAACCAAGAACACAGGAAACAAAGCACCATGTACAACAATCAGTAGAAACAAGACAACAGAAATGAACCTACCAAAAAACTTTCGATATTACCATTACACACATTTTAAAACAATTACCTTTGTCCTTTTCCTAATTCACCTACTATTCTGTCATCTCTTTTGAGAAGCAGGGTAGTATGCTGAATAAGCATGGGCTTTGAACATGTATTCAAATTATGTCATCACTTGTTAGCTATATGAACTAAGAGCAAGTTAACTTCTCCTGGCTACTGAGGCTTATCATGAAAACACAGATCATTCTTACCTTACAGGATATATTTTAAGTACACACATAAAATTCCAATATGTAGACTACACCTAGACTACAGTGTTCAAAAAGTGTTGGTTCCTTTTTCTACCACATTGTCTGTGCCCTCTCTCTCCAACCACATCCCCTTCCTAACACACACAAACACACATTTTTTTGCATCTTAATATTATGGTCTCCATTCTACCTCTTTTTCACTCTTTTCTTCCAGCTTCATTCCACTCTAGTCCTATGCTGTCCAACATGATACCCACTAGTTATATAAACTAAAATTAAATCGATTTAAAAATATTGTGCTTCACTCAGCTAGTCACACTTCAAGTGCTTAATAAATACATATGGCTACTATTATCTACTGTATTGGACAGCATGGATATAGAACATTTTCATCATCACAGAAAGTTCTACTAGGCAACATTGTCAGATTATTCTAATTCTCCTAACACACTAAACACCTTATTCTTATCTAGTGACTTCTTGTACTCTTGTACTTTCCGCTGGTATATTCTAAGGCTTACAGGAGGAGCATGTTCTGTGTTCTCTCTTACCCTGTTATATTATGTTTCAGCTTGTTCACTGCCTGAATTATGACTTCCACATATTTAATTCTATCACCATACTGTGCTACCCAGTCCAATTTATCCTTGTGTAGTGTCTTTTGGAATGTGGCGCTCATCAGAATACATAATGGCCTGGGAACTGAGCCAGTGATAGTCCTACTCCCAAGAGAGGGCAATGGATCCTTTCTAGTAACCAGAAAGGTTTCCCTAAAATTAGCCAATTTATCATTTGTAAGTAAGATCTGTTACTCTGTATTTCTATCATTCCAATTGCTTAGTGAACTAGGATACTCTTTGAAGTCCATTCTTGGAAATGTTCCATATCACTTATCACAGGCCCTTCAATATAACTGATGCCCAGTAATTTTGCAGTTAATTGAAATGATGCATCTAAATAGGATAACAGTTAAGAAAATATGGTATGAAATTAGATAGGTCTGGAGAATCAAGTCCCAATTCTGTCATTTAATAGGTATCTTTAGGTGAATTATTTTACTTAAGTTTCCATACCTATAAAATGGGAATAAGTTCAGTTTACTATCCAAAAGTCTGTTTTACAAAGTATAAATGAGAGAATGTATTACACAAAGTAAGAGGCTCAAAACAGTTATTGCAAATAACATTTAATAATAATAATATAGTATAATAACAAATAAATTTGGATACCTTTAACCTTGCAGAGCTTGTGATGCATTCTCTTATATGTAGAAAACTTAGTGCTTCTTTTGTAGTGGACTGAATTATGTCCCCCCAAAACTCACTGAAGTTTGAATTTTGTCCTGCAAATTTTATGTATTAGAAACCTAGCCCCCACTGTGACTGTTAAAAAGGTGGGAAATCATATTATGGTAATTGAAACGTGGAGTCTTGAAGAGGTGATTTGATTATAGGATCATGCCCTAGTGAATGGATTAAAAAAAGGTGGTCAGGGGCATGGTTCTGAGGGCTTTAAAAGAGGAGATAGAAGAGTCTCTCTCTCTCTGCTCTCACCATCTTGCAATGTGAGACCCCGGGGTCACCGTTGCTACCACCAGATGGACTTTGGACTTCCCAGCCTCAGAAACTGTAAGCAATAAATTTCATTTTCTTTATAAATCACCCAGTTTCAGGTATTTTGTTATAAGCAACATAACGGACTAATACAACCTCAAACATTCTTTCAAACTAAAGATTTAACAGAAAGAAAGACAAGCCTATTTCCAGAAATAAACACTATTATCACTGTCCTACTCAGGGTGACACACTTTCAACAAAAAATTACAAGAAATTTAAAAATTCTTTAAAGAATTTCTTGCTTTAAAAAAGCAAGAAAAACAATGTATTGCCAAGAGACAAAGCAATGAATAGTACCATGCTCACATATGAAAAAGATGTTGAAATCATTAAAGAGAGAATTTAAAAATACTATGATTAATATGTTAAAGGATCGAATGGGAAAGGAAGCCAACATGCAAGATCTGGTGGAAAATGTCAGCAGAGAGATGAAAACTGTAAAAAAAAATGCCAGAAATGAAAAACATATTAAAAGGGATGAATAATGCTTTCAATAGGCCCATCAACAGACTCAACAGAGCTGAAGAAAGAATCAAAAAACTTCATGGCAAGTCAAAAGAAATTACCCTAAATGAAACATAATAAGAAAAAAATATTGGGGGATAAACACAGAACAAGGCATCCAGAAGTTGTGAAATAAATAACAAAGTTCTAGTACACATGCAATCGAAAACCCAGAAGAAGTGGAAAATTTTTTTGAAGAAATAATAACTAAGAATTTTAAAAAATTAATGACAGACACAAAGCAACAGATTCAAGAAGCACAGAGAATACCAAGAAGGATA